CTTTCTCCTCATTGAAGTACAGCTCACGTCCGCCGCCGGAAGCGAACCGAAAGGGAGAGTCCTCTGAATTGCAAAACCCGAACAACGGCTCAATATTCTTGTTCTTGAGGGCGAAATCGATGTCCGAAGTGTTCACTTGTCGTCGCTTTGAATGCATCGCAAACTTGAGCGACTCCTGAAGAATGCATTTCACACGATATGTCACGTCTTCGGCCAACTGTCGGGACGCGTCGTCAGTGATGTTAGAGATGCCCAACTGATCCGCGATTACTTTGATTGAATCCACGCCAAAGTGGCCGACAGTGGACGCCGACGGCTGCTTGTCTTTGGCCGCCATTCAGTCGCGACTATCAATCGCGTGATCTTCTCATCACATCAAACGGTAAGGAATCGGATGAATACTTCGGCGCTTCGGACGTCAAGTGTGGGTCCAATCGACTGATTGTGTCATGAATTCAATTGTTATTCAATTCAAAGCATGCATTCATTGCTTGGAAATTGTAAAACAAATCAAATAAAAATTTGAGTCAATATTTTTGGCTTTCAATTCACAAATCAATTACAACTTGAGTTGAGTTGAGAGCCAGTGATAGGGAGAGAGCATTGCTTTCGCCATTCATTGGCCGTACGTTTCGCTCAAATGCTCTCTCAATACAACACTTGTGAGCGTTGTTTGTGTCACACATTCATCACAACCGACCCATAGATGGCGTGACTCTCACTCTCTCTCACATCCAATGCTTGCAGTCGTGTAGGGCTTGAGCTCTCAGTTGTGTCCTTTTCCGGCAAACGCTAGCAATGGGTAAGTCATTCAACGCTGTCTTCCCAATCATTCAACACTTAATTCAGTTTAGATTTAGTTTTAATTTTACATTTTTTGTTTAATTTAGTTTTTAATTCACTGTTAAGTTCTCCTTAAATGCATTCAATTAGCAAATAATCAGTAATTTATAGTTAAAATGTAGTTTAAAAATGTAGTGTTGAGTCAATGCATTGAACGCAACGTGTTTTGCACAGCCATTGTTATCTATGGGCCGGCAATTGATCTCTGCTTTAATGATATTCAGGTATATCTCGCGATCACTGGCATAAACGCCGCTCCACTGGTGGTAAGAGGAAGCCTCTGAGGAAGAAGAGGAAGTTCGAGTTGGGCCGACCCGCCGCCAACACTAAGGTATGTCCACCACATCCGCCAACGCGTGTCTTTAGTTGCCCTCTTTAGAGCCATTGTCTTGTTTTAACACTATATGATGTCATTCATGCGTGTCATCTGCCACTTAATTGATGAAAAACGCTCGCCGTTCTGATAGTATTAAAACCCCCCTCTCTTAGACCCACTCATAGCCGCCCAACGCCTCCGTTATGTTATTAACTTATGGTTGTATTTACAGATCGGAGCAAAACGTGTGCATCTCGTGAGGACCAGAGGTGGTAACCGTAAGTTCCGAGCGCTGCGTCTGGACCATGGCAACTTCGCCTGGCCTTCTGAGCGTAAGTCATGTCTTCAGTTATCACCCATTCTATCGTTAAGGCCTTAGAGACCAAACCAAGTGATGATAACAATGAATTGCTTCGACTGATTGATTTGATTAAAGTTCTAATCCCACAGCGATCTGATCCCCGTCTCTATTCCCTTAATTTAGTTTTTTTGTGTATTTTTGTTATGTTTTTATAATTAATGGTTTGTTTGAATGATAGGAACGACACGTAAGACCCGTATTATTGATGTCGTGTACAACGCGTCTAACAATGAATTGGTCAGAACCAAGACTTTGGTGAAGAACTGCATTGTTCTGATCGATGCGACGCCTTTCCGCCTGTGGTTTGAAAACCATTATTCGGCGCCTTTGGGCCGCAAGAAGGGCATGAAATTGGTATGTATTTTGTCAGAACTCTTGTATTTTGATTACATTTTATTAGTGATGATCTAATTTATACCATCTTTCGGCTGATTTGTTTGATGTCTAATAGTTTTCTGAATTTTTGTTTGAAATTTTAATTTTATTCATTGCTTTGATTGGAATTAATGTTTGGTTTCATTTGTTTAGACGGAAGCGGAAGAAGAGGTGTTCAACAAAAAGAGAAGCAAAAAGTGTGAAAAGAAGTATAAATTAAGACAAAAGGTGGCGAAAGTGGAGACGGCTCTCGAGGAACAGTTCATGACTGGACGCGCACTCGGTTTGTATTCACTCCCATTAATGTTTAATATTAGGCTTATATCTGATGATCAACTCTCTCTCGGAATCACTTGGTGTTAATGACATAATTCATAGTTACTCTGATTTATATATATTTTTATTGAATTTATTTATTGTTAATTGAGTTTTTAATGAGTGTTTTGTTTGACAGCGTGTTTGGCCTCACGTCCGGGACAAGTGGGAAGAGCTGACGGCTACCTCTTGGAGGGCAAAGAACTGGAGTTCTATCTTAAGAAAATCAAAGCCAAGAAAGGAAAATAGATGTCATTTTTTGATTTTTCCAATAAAATTATTGAATAAAATATTTGTTTGCTTTAATTTTGGTTTAAAAATAGTTTATTTAAAAACAAATGGTTTATAAATGTTAATGTTTTTAGTGATGTCTTTATGGCATTTAAATTAATTGTTTATACAAAAAGATAATTGAAGTACTTTTTAAATTAGTTTTTGTTTTAATATTTCTAAATATAAGACAATTAAGAAATAGTAAAAAGGAAGAGAAGATCACAATTTGTAGAAAACTGTTGGAAATAATGAATGGATTGTAATTATAACTCGGAGTGATCGACACCAATGTCCTCATCCACGACAGGCATCTAAACACAAAAAACGTGTTAATCAGTGAATTATAGGAATGATATGTATAGACATTGAATACCTCTCCATCCTTTCCATTCCACGGCTCAATGGTATTGATTTTGGGAAGTGTTGCGCCTCTTAAGGGAGAGGAGGAGCCCTTTCCGTACATTAAGTCGCGGAGGAAAACATTGATTCCGTCGTAACTGAAAGAGCCGCGAAGGAGAGAGTATTTCATTTTTCTGACGTTCAGTACAGCCATCGCCGGGTATCCGAAGCCTCCGATCTCGAGGGCGTCCTCGACGTCCGGCTGAGCCATGGCTTCGATCCACAGATATCCCCACTTATTCTTCTTGTATTTATCACCGATTTTGCGAAGAGTTTCGATGTATTCGTTACGACATTTTGACTGACAGTCGAGAATATGAGGCAAAACAGAGACAATACACAACTGATAGCCATCGCAAGCTTTAAACGTGTCTTCACTGACGAGTTCGTTCACTTCGGGCGGCGGTGCGCTCTCTGACACCTTATCGAGTGCATAGTTCACGATATCATTGACAGCGCGTCCGCCCTCGTAGTCCTCGGCGGATCCGTCTTTCTTTCCCGAACCAAACACTTTAATCGTTGGAAAGCCCTTAATATTGTATTTGCCGGCCGTTGACGTGTGAGCGGTCGCGTCCAACGCTCCGATCTTTACTTTGCCCTTCAGTTCAGTGGCCGCTTCGGCCCAAATGGGCTCCAAGTTCTTGCAGTGTCCACACCACGGGGCGAAGAACTCAACTAACCATAAGTCATCGCTTTTCAGCACTTTCTCCTCGAAGTTGGCGTCAGTCAGTTCTATCACATCCTTCTTATCGCCCCCACGTTTACCACCGCTTCCGCCCGAAGAGCCACCACCGCTAGAACCGCCGCCCGCTCTGCTGTCCACCACTTTTCGCAGCTCTTTGAAAGCGGCGTCAATGAGTCCGCCCGAAGAACGGGGACCGCTGTAGTCGACGGGTGTCTTCTTATTGGCGCCGAAGATCTTAATAGTGGGGAAACCTTTGACACCGAATCGCGAGCCGAGAGAGTTGTGGGCGTCGGCGTCCACTGCGCCCACTTTGACCACACCTTTGAGAGCGTTGGCGGCCTTTGTGTACTCGGGAACCAATGACTTGCAGTGTCCACACCACGGGGCGAAGAACTCCACGATCCAGATATCGTCCGAATCGGTCACTTTGCTCTCGAAGTTGGTTGGCGTCAATTCAATCACTTCCGACTTCTTGTCGTACAACGAATGACACGATTGGCTAAAAGTTATGACAACTATTGACAACACTTTCACGAAACCTATCATTCAATCAAACGTTTAATTAATTGTTGGAAAAACATTTTCGTTTGCCTTTTAATCGATGCCAACATTGAAAGACATTTGTGATCATAAATACCTGTAAATGAATACATTTCTCGGCTTTCAATGAATAATAAATAAATAAAATGAATAAAAATGACTATAAATTGGTGTTAATTGTGGTCTAAATGAACGGATTTATTGACTAAAAGCCGGTCTTTTAAACTGAATCTCACTTTTTATATACACAGAGAGAGTGAGAGAACTGACTGTCAATACATTTCTATGCATTCAAAGGCTTTCAAAGGCATTACAATTCGTGTCGTGTTTTCATTCGTCGATTCCTTTCCCACAAAACTTGATATAAAAATATCTCACATTAAAGGCATTGGTTTTCGGTCACAAACTTTACTTAACTTCTCGTCCATTATTTACATATTAAACACTGATTGTTGTAATTATTATGATTTAGTTATCACTTTAATTGTGGCAATTGTTTGTATATTTATTATCACTTTAAACAGTGGTCTAAATATTGATAATATTTATTGTAATTAGAGATGACTTTCCGGAGACTAAACGTATTTAATATAAACATTGAAAACATGAAGCAATGAATGAAATGTTTGCGTGAATTGTAAACAAATTGTGAATATGTTTTGCAAATGTATTGTTATTTAATATTTATTGAAATTAATGGTTAATTAATACAAGAAATACATTGAAATGTTTGCCAATTGTTTGAAGGCATTGAATAGAAACACATGTTTAGTGCAAATGTGTGGCAACTCTTGGAATGCATTCAAAGGCTTTCAAAGGCATTACAATTCGTGTCGTGTTTTCATTCGTCGATTCCTTTCCCACAAAACTTGATATAAAAATATCTCACATTAAAGGCATTGGTTTTCGGTCACAAACTTTACGTAACTTCTCGTCTATTATTTACATATTAAACACTGATTTTGTTGTAATTATTATGATTTAGTTATCACTTTAATTGTGGCAATTGTTTGTATATTTATTATCACTTCAAACAGTGGTCTAAATATTGATAATATTTATTGTAATTAGAGATGACTTTCCGGAGACTAAACGTATTTAATATAAACATTGAAAACATGAAGCAATGAATGAAATGTTTGCCTCATTTGTAAACAAATTGTGAAAATGTTTTGCAAATCATAACAATAAATTATAAATAACTTTAATTACCAATTAATTATGTTCTTTATGTAACTTTACAAACGGTTAACAAACTTCCGTAACTTATCTTTGTGTACAAATCACGTTTACACACCGTTGAGAACCATCAGAAGCGGCCGATTGGCGACACAACACGTGATGTCCAACGGTTCCCAACGTTTGGTTCACTCGACAAACACTCATGAAATCGATTATCTCTTAACGAAATACAAGTTAATCATTAAACCGGAGGACGTGTCCATCAGTTACGGCCAAATGTCTTCATTACATCACTTCAATAGAATCGACGATAAATTCTTCTTCGATTCGGAAACGGATTTAACGGTCGATACGTTGTGTCGAGTGTTGAAAATCGGTCGAAGAAATGGCAAGTATTTGGTGAGGAATTACCCGAGTCTGGAGGCCATGACTAACGAAGCGCTCGAACGACACGTCGAGCACCTGATGGATGAGTACTCGCTATCTGAAGACCAGTTGTGGTGCTGTCCGTGGACTCTGTTCTTACCGATTGGTTTCCTTAGCGACCGATTCAAGGCTTTAGGCGGACGTGTCATTAGTAACGATGATTTGGTACTCCTATTGCTTCCGTCGCCGACCTTTCAACGAGTGGTCAAACAGATTAGGAAAAGAACTTTTAGGACAAAAATATACACCGATTTTAGCAAAAAGTTAGATCTCTTCACAAATAATCTGGACATGAAATGCGAAGAGTTCTGCGATTTGGTCCACGAAAACAAGTTTATCTTCTATTATAACTTTGAAAGATTTGAATGTGTATTGAATTTACTGAAGAAAGCGAACGCCGACTGCCGTATAGTTCTCAACGACATCTCTGTCTTCTGGATATCAAACCTATGTTACTTCTTTGCTCACCTGCTGACGAACTTTGTGCTCTACGTTCACTTCTGTACCTACAACTCTCACTGGCTGCTCAGCAAGTTGTGTACGGAAGTTGCTGTGTAGCTGTTCAAGAAAATACTTGAAGGTTATGATAATAATATAGAATATATGGCCAATCAGTTAGAGTGTGACCAAAGTATTATTCACTTCATGTTGAGACGGTATCCGCAGATACTTCAGATTAGTTCCAAGAAGTTGTTTGAGAAGTTGTCGTTTTTATTCTCGCAAGGATTCAAGAGTCAACACATTATTGAAACCCCGAAAGTGCTGTTCAATTCAGTGGACACTATTCTGGAACGCCTGCAACAGTTGCAGACAATCGATATTCACATGAATTCGTTGCGAATCCTAACTCTACCCGAAAAGCATTACCAGAAAGTGTTTCATCTGCTGAAGAGGCATAAAGAGAGTTCTAGTTCTTCTGAATCCGAATCCGAGTCAAACTAATATACAAATTGTTACCCAAATTAATGGCTTACTATTATATGTTCCATACGTGGAGTCAGTTTACCAACAATGTTATAATTTGATTTATTTGCCGCAGTTTTTACAATTTGGATTTTATTTAATTAAATAAATGTTTATTTATTAATAAATATATTGCATAACATATGTAGGAATAAATGGATTTTAGTCAATGTAATACTGTATTACAATTTGAATAACAGTCTTAATTTATATAGAATTATATGGAATTACATGTTTATAATAAGCTAAAGAATTTGGTTGTTTACAAACAATTTGTATTACTTGGAAGTTATATTACTGTTATATTTTTATTAATATAGCTTGTTACAATATAGTTAATAAATGATTTCTAATAGTAATATTATTGCACTTTTTCAATTGATTTATAATCTAATTAGATATGCTTTGGCAATGAATTACAACTTTTAATTATATATATTTGCTAATAATTGATAAAAATATATTCACATATAATTATTATTGGAGTTTTCGCTGTTGGAATAGAAGTTGGAAATAATGGTTAGAATCGGTCACAAAGTTTGTATTGTTGTACAATTGTATTGGCATTAGTGACAATAAAAACTACATTATGAAACCAATTGACTACAAATTAGTTTCATTAATTTGAATAATTCATGTCACTGAAAACACGATTATGCAGTATAAGTGGTTCCGCCACTAAACACTAGATTGGATGGCAACTAATGAATTGCTGCCTACAGTATATCAATGCATAGATAACTCCTTCATTTTAATCGCAAACTAATTTCAATATATTTCTAATCGATTCAATGACCGATAATATGGTATAAATTGAACTGAAAAATAATGACTGTCATACACTATACGATCGCATTATTACATAGTGTTGCGATATATTATATAGAAATGTTGAGCTAGATGTTGATAAGGTGATGATGATGGTAAAAAGCAAATGTAATTGACATAATGTAAATCATATGAATATAATTAATGATTAACTTAATGATTAAGCATATATTATAGTATAGTGTATGATATAATGGTTTTCATATTTGGCGCACAAACACAGAGTTGGAGAGCATTTAGTGTTGGTTTCTATGGAAACGAATTGAGTTGAGGACTGAACGGGCATTCAATCCAATGATTGATTAAATCAAATGGTTTTTTGCGTTTAGTTTTGATTTTGTAAAACAATTTATTTTTGGTTCAATCGATCGCTCATTGATATCATGGTATGTCCTGTCCGTCCATTTGCCCCCCATTTGTGCCATTCGTGTCCACTCTTGCCGTTGTGTTGAGTCTTATTGAATGACAAAACAGTTTTGTTGTAAACAATAAACATTTCTTTTTGTCTCAATTTTGATGACATTTATGACACGAATTGCCATCAAATGGACGGCAATTGATCTCTGGTTAACCCCTTATGGCATGTGTTTGTAATTGTCTTGTATTGTGACGTTTAGGACGTGTTTCTGATGATCAGACGGAAGAAGATGACGGTCTTCTTGGACGCCAAAGAGACCACTTCTGTGATCGACTTGAAGAGAATGATCGCCGGAATTACGAAAACACTTCCAGAGAATCAAAGACTGTTCAAAGACGAGGAGGTGATGGACGACAGGAAGTCGTTGACCGACTATAATCTGAACCCAACGACAGCCAAAGCACAGTCGCCGGCGACCATTGGCCTCTCCTTCAGAGACGGTATGTCCACACATGTCATTCACACTCATTGTCACTCATTATGGTTTGCTTTGTCTCGTTGTGTGTCCGCAGAGAACGGCAGGTTTGAGATGCTTGAGATCACATCCCTGTCCACACCTCCAGAACTGCCAGACGTTATGAAATCACCAGAAACTCAATGTCAAACTCACGATCAAAGTGTCAATTGATTGGTTCCATCGCAACACCAGATGAAGAAGAAGTAGTAGAAAAGCAGACAATTTATGTGTCAATATATTTAGCATTACTTATGAAATCGTTTAATCCTTTCGATTAATGCCTACTATTTTCATCATTAATTCTAACGACACTTTTATTATAAAAAACACACAAAAAAAGTATTCATAAAAATTAATACTAAAACTATTAAAATTAAACTTTTGTTTGTTTTCCCATTATTTTAGATCTAATAATATTTTTAAAGCTAGAGATTTGAGCTAAAAATAATTCTTCAAATTTAAGACTTTTATGAATGCTTTCAATCAATAAGTGATAACTTTGTAATCCAGTGCTTAAAACAACTGAATTTGCGTTCAATTGGACAACAATTGGACAATAGTTTGAATTATTGGTTATTCACTGGTTTTTACTTCTTTTTGTAGTAATTATTATATTTAGAAAAGAATCTAATTTAACAAAATATAGCAAAATATTATACAATTATTATTATTTTTGTTGTCTTAACATAATTTTGTTATTTCTATCAATTTATTGCTAACTTATGTTCAAAATCACACGAAAATTAACATAACTTTAATTATATTTTTTGCGATAATTTATTTTCCACTTAATTACCGACAATTAACTGATTATTTAATATAAAATTAAGTTTAAAATAAATATAAAGAACAACAAAAGAAAAAGTAATTTTTATAACAAAAACAACTAATTTCCCAAACATTGAACGAAAAGATAATTTCGGTATTAAATGCAGAATTGGATTCATTTTCAAGTTATGGCCACTAAATGAGTGCCTCTTTTTTGCTGTCTTTTATATAACATGAATTTTATGTCAAAACATTATTATAATCGTAATAATTGTTAAATTTAGTTAAATACTCATTATTTAAATGTTATTTTGGTTCCGACTTATGATTGAATGAATTAATTGTTAGTTTCAGTTAATGTTTTGTTATTTTGAAAAAATCATTATTTTTTAAAAACACAATTCATTTGAAACAAATTATTTGTTAACAAGAATTTAATGACAATAAACGGACAAAACAAATAACTATTCACAACAAACATCACATTTAATACAATTATAAGTGAAAAACACACTTCAATTCAATTTAATACCACATATTTTTGGTTGTCTGCAGACTTAAAATTTTTAGATTACATCTAGTTTCTGAACTATATTTTTTGGTCAACAATTTAAATATAGTTATTATTTTAAACCGCATTTAAATTAATGAATTTATTTACTGCAGAGTCTATATCCCATTGAGTTTATATCTCATTGTCTCGTTATTATTGGATGATATTGTGGGTGTGTATGAATGCTTTTTAGGAGTGTACATAAATAATGTCACCATTTATTATGCCCCTCTAACTGCAGAGTCTATATCCCATTGAGTTTATATCTCATTGTCTCGTTATTATTGGATGATATTGTGGGTGTGTATGAATGCTTTTTAGGAGTGTACATAAATAATGTCACCATTTATTATGCCCCTCTACCACATATAATGCCAGAAAAACGCTGTCAACACTCGACATAATGACAATTAAATGACAATTAAATCACAATTCAATCACAATTAAAAGTATTGGCAAAAATGCTTTCAAAGTTCAATGCTTTCAATGCTTTCAAATTACATGTGCTTTGATTGTGATATACTGTACGTAATGTATGGGTTCAGTCAATGGGGG